ACGGAAGGGAACGCCGCAGCCAGGAGCAAGGAAGGAGAAGGGAGAGGACCTGGCTAAACATGAAGGGGATGGGGGCAGGTTCTGCTCTGGGAACTTTTAAGTCGTCTGTGGAGGCTTCCCCGGCATGGTCTGTGGGCACCAGTGGGTGGGAGCAGGGATACAGTCACCCCTGCGGGGCAGGTTGCTGCTCCCACAGCTCCTTTGCCAAATCCTGGATCTATCCCTTGGTGGCTATCTGCCCATTTTCTTTTGGAATAGAACTGATAATGCACAAAGAGAGCAGAGTTGTCAGGAATGAGCACATACGGGAGAAAAAGTGCAGTCTCCCACGTCATGTTAGTTTCAGTGTATCAGTCGTCTTCTGAGGCTCTCACAAGAAAGGCTTCCTTCACTGTTCATTATCTCCCAGCACAGAAAGATCTCACGTGTGAACCGCTGCGTTCTGTTGTGCTTTTCAGATATGTCAGAATGCTTGGTGCGTTATACATGAGATTGACTGGCACTGCCATCGACTGCTACAAGTACCTTGAGCCACTGTACAATGATTATCGGAAAATAAAGAGTCAAAATAGAAACGGGGGTAAGAAATCTTATGTTCTCAGGGTAAAACAGTGTGGCATGGACAGCCCTTTGTAAGAGACCTCTCCTTTAGTGCTGTCTGCTATACAGGAATGCAGGTGTGGAAATAGCTCCTTGCTTTGATGTGAATTCACCCGTCACGTATGCTGTGGCTGGGCCTGCTTCTTTGCTAACATTCTCTTAAATTGGAGCTCACACACTTCTGTGTACTTCCTTCAGGCCTATGTGTTTGTGTTAATAAAACAGCACCTAAAGGAAGAGCATAGGACTGGGCATCAGGGATTTTCTAATTGTAGCTCTGCCACAGTTTTGCTACATGTAAAATAGAGTTAATTTTCCCAGCTGCCAGGGTTGTTCTGCTGTGAGGGTTGGGTTTGAACAGCACATAGCATACAGTCTCCTGAATATTAAGTATTGGTACCTAAAGCAAAGATGACTGCCTTGTTTTAAACACTTTTTCTTTCAGAATTTGAACTGATGCACGTGGACGAGTTTATTGATGAACTGCTCCATAAGGAACGTGTTTGTGATATCATTTTACCTCGATTGCAGGTATGTGGAGGCTGGTAATCCAACTTAATGTTATATATAACATAAGCAGTCATCTGATTTACAAGCATGTTACATACCATAGTAGCTAAGGCTTAATTTGCACTTGACAGACCCTTATTTGTGAGCATGTTTGTGTGGATTATGTGAAATGACAAGTAGGTATTTCTTTCAGAAACGTTATGTCCTGGAAGAAGCTGAACAACTAGAGACTCGGGTTAGTGCACTGGAAGAAGATATGGATGATGTAGAGTCTAGCGAGGAGGAAGAAGAGGAGGATGAAAAGGTCTGTGAATTGTATTGTTGTTTATCTTCAGTGGAAAGTTACTTTGGGTGCCAGAATATTTATGCAGTAGAGTGTTTCCAGAAAACTCCTCCTCATTGCAGTGTCATAAGAGCTGCTGGTGACGCCTTAAGTCCTACCATGGCAGTAAAACAGACTTTTTATCGGGGTACTCTGCCTGATAAACTTTAACTGATTTATGTATTCTCTCCTAATTAGACATGTTGTGGTCACATTAAAATAGACATTTGGTTTGTCAATT